TTTGTATTTTTTGCTATTTCCACAAGCTTTGTTGAGTTGATCATTAAAAAAAGGAACTGAAAATTGTCCTTTATATATATATGGTACTGTTTATTATTATGTGAAAAAATTCAGTTATTTAAACAGCTGGTTTAGAATCGAAATCATTAATAACCGTTTTACACTACTTACTTAAATATTAATGGTTTATAATGTGAAAAAGATAATGCTTCCGTTTAATACGAAAGTTTATGTGACTGAAAAAAGTAAGGCGATTGTATAATGCTTGTAATGATAGATTATGTATACTCTGTTTAGGTTATTATTTGATAATATAAAGTTGATTCACTTAGCTAACATTATTCTTACTTATTATTCAATCACTTATAACTTTACTTGATTCATTGTGTTATTAAATATCCCAGTTTCCCCCATTATTATTCCACTACCATACACTAATTTGTTGTCGTTATTGTTCTCTTTACACGCACCTTACAAATTTTATCTCTTCTCATTATTATTCTGTAGCGCATATGTAACTGGTGCCCCCTTGTACCAATATTTATATGTTCAGAAAAATAAATGCGTTGTTATCACAAACTAACAACTGTTGTTCATTTCATCTGCACTTATTCCATCAGTGGAAAAGTTATGCGAAATAAAACCTTAGGCTGTCCAGTCATATGGTATTGAATTTCTTAATTTCACATAATTTACAATATTATTTTATTCTATCGAACGAAATTTATCGTGCCAGTGACTTGGAAGATTAAGGTTATGTTTGTTTATATTAATTTTTACAGTCTATCCCGAGGCACACTACTAATTATTATTGCTTAATGAAATCGATCACAGATACCTAAATTAGTTTTGCGACTGTTTCAAATGTGAAATGGTCTCGTAGTAAACGGTATTTTCAAATTTCATTTTCTCAAATAGAAAATAAATATTATTTTAGACACTAAAACTTCGAAAAACAATAAGTTATTTATTTTTATATTAATGTCCCAACAGCATTTTAACTTTTATTCTTTGATCCACGACTTTGCTGACCTGATTAGCAAGTTTTTTTATTAAGGCTATTTACTTACCGGATGAAGTTGCTGACCTCATGCCCTACACACTTCTCCTATATCCGGGCTTGAGGCTCTCTGTAGTCTTAGGATGGTTCCAGGTTGAGTTTACTTATTTAATATTGATAACTTTTCGGACGAGGAATTGTTGCATAGTTGGATGAATTTTATTTATTAATTATCTGACTTAGTCTTTTGTATATCTTATAGCAGAGCATGCCCATGACCCTTCAGATCTATGCTTAACCACCAAACCACTGAGTCAATACCAGATAGTTTAAAAGTACGGAGCTAACACGAAAACTACTCACAAAAAGGTCATGTGTGAGCGACTTCAAGCAGTTGTCTCTTTGGCACTGTTGTCGCGCTCTCAGGTCATTAAGACCACCCCTAACCCAATTTCTTTTCCAAGTGCCTCTAGAAGATCCCTTCAACGGTGTGGGCAACCGGGAAGTGGTGACCGCCCTCAGACCTCTAACAGCACTCAAGATCACTGTATTAACTGAGTTTTCAAATTTGGTCAGCCATCTGCCAATATCGGTGGGTTGGTAACAGCCTCACATCTAGCATAGCTGAGCTCTACTTACCAAGGAATTCTCAAAATTAATCATTATTTGAGGATACAATCACTATTAATATAAAGGGGTTTTGGGAGATCGTTGAACTTTATAGTTTAAGTCACAGAGTAACCTTAGACAACTAATGGAAACTAAGAAGCAATGTACAATTATTCCTTCCTAGTGTTTTCTGCTAAGCAATAATTCTGAAACAATTTTCACTTATCTAAATAAGCATCAAAATAGCAATTAATAAATGCAGAAACCAATCATGCTTTTCAAATCGATAGACTACGGGTGATTTAACATAATATTAGTGAAATTGAAGAGATTTCGCCAAACAAGATTCTGTGTATGATAAGTGAACCAGTAATCTTACTCATTTGAAAAGGTTAGATTATAAATTTTGGATTCATCTGTATATACCAAATAACCAGCTGAAATGAGACATCAGTTCGTCACACAAAAAACTGCATAACTTAGGCTACAATTTATTAATTAACAAGCACATTTCAGCAGACAATTATGATAGGACTAATTGATTTAAAACACATAAAAACCTTCCGTTTTTCTCTTTTTCACTGTATCTGCTTGTAGGTGCGGCAAATACTTCGTTTATTGTCAGCATCCAGAGTTCAGAAGATTTCGTATTTATCTACTCTACTATAATGCATATATTCTCTTTCCAATCGGAAATATTTCAGAGACAGCAAGTGTATGGTTTACTCTTGTTCTATCTGTAGAACGTTACTTAACTATGAGCCAAATAGGTTCAGCATATCAAAATAAACTCAGGATGCAATCACCTAACACATTACCTTCAAAACAAAAAAGTGAAATATTGTATAACACAAATCATTCAACTTATACCACAGAATATCAAGAAACTTTCAATGAAAATAAAAAATTGCCAAAAAAGGATTCAATTGAAACAGTAGAAAATGTAGTGGAACAGCAGCAGCATCGTGAACAACAAACAACGGTGGGTAATTTCAAATGGTATGAAAAGCTCTCGAACTGTTGTGATTTATCAGTATTAAAACAACATATCAGAAACAGTTTGACCAATACTCCAACACCAAAGTCTTTATGTATCTTACATAAATTACACCATTCACATTTAGATAGATCAATAGGACGTTGTAGTTTAAATAAATGCATACAACTGTATGCTTGCCGAAATTGTAACTTCAAACATTCACTACTTTTTATAACATTTTTCAGTATACTACTTAATTTGCCACTATTCTTTGTTCAAAAAGTTGTCAGGAAAAATAATCCTATAAAAAAATCAGCAATTAAACAAATGGAAAACAATAAAACAAGTGAGTGGCTACATACTATACCAAACCACTTCAATAATTTAACTTCAACTGATAATCAATACAATCAGGGTCAAATACAAGTTTTCACTGGGCTTACAGAATTCGGTAATTCAGACTTTTATAAAATTTTCTCATGGACACGTATTATGTTAATACAAGTTTTACCGTTATTATTCCTATGCTTCGTCAATTTTTGTTTATTACGTTTCATACATATAGCAAATAAACGTCGTCAAAGGTACTTATTACCAGATTTGTCTAATAAAAAAACCGGCCGTTTTAAATTACATAAAGCAAATTCGCGCAGTACAAAAGTTAATAAAGCTTCAAGCGCCAAATGGCAAGCGGCACAGCGTAAATTAACCATTTTATTAATTGTTATTATTTGTTTATTCATAGCCGGACAAATACCACAAGCATTTGCATATATTACTATATTTGAAGCATTTAATAGACATTTTGGTAATGTATGCAAACGATGGAGATGTTGTCCTCCATATTTGATTTATCGTTCAATAGCGCATATGTTGGGCTTATTTACTTACTCTACTAATTTTTTTGTTTATCTTACATTGAATAAACATTTCAAACAACAATTAAACATTTGGTTCCTATTAATATGCCCTATTAGTAAACAATTTCGGAAAAAGTGTTTATTAAAACAAAACAAATCAATAAATCATTCTTATGATCAGTCAAAATCTAAATTATCATTCACAAATCAACATAAATCAATATCTCTACCTCATAATAATCTTTATTATCGTATGTGTAAAAGAAGACGTTCATCTACGCTATTTTGTAATCCTACAAAACGACTAATATCAATTGATAATACAGATTTATCTTCTGAAGCTGTTTCAGCTCCAGTTGATTTATGCACTAATTCAAAATGGAAAAATAAAGATTTTCTACAATTAAATGAAATGAAAAAAGATCTATTATCAACAACTATTCATCATTCCCCTCAATGTATAAATAAAATCAATTCAATTATTAAATCAGAAAATACGATTGATTATATCAAAATGAATTATTCCTCAGTACCTGCTATTAATGAAGTATCAAACTATTTAGTCATATCAAATCCTGTCAATACAAATAATAATCTGCTTAATAAACCTATAGAAACTCAATTTCAACAATCCTCTTTAATCACTAAAAATAATGACCTATCAATTAATTCTATACAACCAACAAATTGTCAAACAGAAATAAAATATGATATAAATAATCCATCATGTATTTACAAAACTTTTCGTGCTTATTATTCACATGATTCAGTGATAAAAAATTGGATATTTCAATTAACTAATAATAATAATAATAATAATAATAATAATAATAATCAGAATTCTCAAAATACTAAACAAATTACAACATCACAATCACATTTAATTTATTCAAATCAACTAATAACAAATAAAGATAATTTAAACAATGATTTACAACATGAGCAATATGTTCAGAATTATGATAAGCGTAAAGAAGATATGATTAATAATGCAAAACAAAATATTATACATTGTGTAAATCTTAATATGTTGCGCAATAGTAATAATAATAATAATAATAAAGATTATTATAATAAAAGTAATGATAATATTAGTAATAGTACTAATAGTAGTACTAGTAAGAACAGTAATAGTGCGATAAAAAATTCAAAAACTTGTACTCATTCAATAATTGATTCTGATTCACATGGTGTTGGTTTGACATTTTCACATGTTTATTGTCCACTTATATATAGAGAGAGTGATTTTGATGTGATTTCAGTTGATGAAAGTAATGCACAAGATGAACCAGAGCCAAATTCATTTTTATAATGTATATGTTTTATGAAATAACATATGAACATTTGTTTATAATAAAAGAATTAATATTTTCGTTCTTAATGTTATATCTAATATAAGAAGACTAGGATCTATGTATCGTTGAAGCATACTAGCACATAAATAAACAACATAGTATATATCTAACATTATTCTGAGATATAAATACTTGCTATCGTTTCAATGTTGTTTCTTCATTTATAGTTTTACCATGGTCATCATCATCGTATGAGCAGATTTCTTCCTGATACATCGGTGTATTTTATAATAGATATAAATATTTCTATACATAAACATTTCACTGTGAATGATATTTATGGTATAATATACCTGTTGCAGTATATAAAATTATTGTACAGCAAAATTATTTTTATTGAACAAGCTATAAGGTCATTCCTACTTACAGAAAGAAAAAAGAAGTTATTGACAAATATTTTTCTAGAAAATATATATATATATGTATTTTTATGTTGCCCGTAGACTGATCTTACTTTATAAACTTGCTGTAGGGGTGCAACTTTTTTGTAGTACACTATTAGGTAGAGCCTTATTACATTTTCTAAACTATTCATAATGCTGTAAAGTATATATATATATATATATATATATATATATATATATATATATATATATATATTTCAATAGTACCTGAATTATTCATTAGGTTACAAGATTCAAATAAAACTTATTGCAATAAACGAATTTTCCATTTGTTAAAAGGCAGATTTTGTGAAGTTTAACCTTGAAATAAAGACTAACTACGCTATACAGTGCAGATCTAAACATTATTTACTTTATTTAATACTTAATCATTAGAGATGCTTCCATTCTATCATCTTGATTGAGTGACTTCATATATACATTAGAGCTATATAAAGAGGTCAACCAATCATCAGAAATATTGCTATGATCAATGCACCAAGCTTGTATTTTGCAACAAGAACAGCTATTCGAGGATAAATTTCGTTTCTATATATAACTTAATAGCTTGTAAAAATACCATCGTACAAACCATTTTAAACGCTAAATGAAAATATGCTTTCACATATTTTATCTAAACACACAAGAAGCAGATGACTGATATGTAGATTTTTAACTGTAAATAAAAATTGAGTGTTTGTCAATAATGTTGCCATTTCCTAAATAATTCTTCAATGTCACTTACGCTTCCACGTTAAAACTTAAAAATATTGCTTCTACCACTGAAAGCTTCGATAGTTTTAAACTAAATAACATCCATGGGTTATATTTTGGCACTATAAGACTGGCTGTGCGGCATTTCATATTAACAAATAGTTTAGTTATACATCAATGGGTCAAGTGATTACTAACCTACAGAAACAATTCTTTGTTCAAATAAGAATTCATCATAAAAACCCTGAATCTTTGTGCGATACAGAAACGTAACGCAGGAGAGAAACACAGCAAATTGAATATTAGGTAAAATGGCCTTCCGGAGGATAATTCAAATAGCAGATATTAAACGGAAAGAAGTAATCAAGATTCAGGTATCAATAAAACAAAAGAGCAATAGGAACCATTTTCGAAATAGTAACCAACAATACTTGGGTGTTTATTATTCCAAAAACCAGTAACTCATTTGAAAATGAGTTCTGAGATTTTTCATAATACGTTCTAAAACGAGAGCAAAAACATATCTACAGGCGCTTCTCACCAACAAACTGCCAACACATTTCCTCAAAAACTGGCGAATTTTAGGATACAAAGACGAATCACAGAAACAAAACAACAGCCGTAATCCATGGCAGAAAAAATAACAAATAAAGTTAAAGCAATCGAACGTTCAATCGAATGTGCACGAATATAATATACGAGGTGAATTCCAACCACATTTCTAAATCTAACAAAACTGTTCGCAACCAGTACACGACTACACAATCCGGATACGTGAGTCAAGCTTACACTTACCAAACCAAAGATATCACATAGAACACAAACAATGGAAACCCTAGTAGCCGAGAAACAATTTTGCGCAGTCTACTATTTCATACTTAGGCGACTGGTGCTGCAACTGCGTAATAGAAACATTAACGACAAATAAAAGATGAACAAAAGTAAACCTTCTAGACACCATCTATCTTTCCAATCGACACTTAATACCGATGTGCATCGTCGAAACAACCAATTTATCCCAACACAATACACCATTGTGATCACTGACTTGTCTCGACATTTATACATGCAATCTCTATATATCTATGATACTTCGTTACGTTCAGTGCTGGAAACCCATTTGACAATTTATCCTGAAGAGATCACCTCACAGTCAACACTCGAACATGAAACCGACACATCAGTCAAGAAACACTGTGCTAAGCACCTGTTCTTTGTTGGTGACATACAACAAACTGTCCTCGTAGACAAACTCCAGTCTGATCTTTATTCGATGGAATATAGCATTTACACACTTCCAAAATAGATATATCCCACCATCTTTATCGATGCTCAAGCCAGTTCGCATAAAATTCCGTTAAATTTAGATTAAGAAACTAAAGAGCATCAACATTTAAATACATAAAGCATACTATCAGGCTGCTGGATAAGCCATCAGACACACGAAGACCTCCTTAAACTAAGCATATGAAGTATGTAGTGTAAACCACTTATTAAGCACAGGCTTATAAACTCGACTTTCAGTCGCACTGTTTATGTGAAAGCTAATGATACTAACCGAATTCCCCAAACCGAGGTAGGTGAGGTGGGGTTAGAGCCCGCAACTTATCGGTTGATATATACCTACAACACTGAAACAACCATATTCAGCGCATTGTCAAAACATTGCATTGGAATCACGACGACTAATACGATACAATACAATACGTTACATACCCAACGCACAATAGAAGGCAGACGTGAAATGCCTTACCGAAGGCGCAAATTCTTCGGACACTTCATAATACGGTTATCTGTTATATATTTTGGAAAATGTTTTATCAATTACTCCAGTGGCTTACCGTACGCATCAGGATAACCAGAATCTAGGCCCGAAGAACGGGGTTAGAACCACCACTTTTCGGCAATCCTGCTGCAGTCATGTAACCACCCCCACAGCTCACACACCCACCAGCATGAACAACCTTGGTTGTCAACGCCAAATGTCCGCAAGCAAATTCTGTTCACGCTTTGAGAATTGGCTATCTTGGTTACTCTGTAGAGCAACCTTTAGACCTACACCGACTAATCCCCATAACACAATGTGTGAACAGCTACAGCACCACAGCAAAACCTGCTAGTCTCACCATCAGACAGCCGCTTTGCCGGAAAGATTTAACTGCACACCAGCACAACTATGTTTCCAGATTAACAGCTAAACTCCGAGTTAAAAATCTGCAAACAGCTAACTGATCAAAACTGTCTCGCCTGACACTGCGAACAACAGCAATCTCCCATGTATCAGCATAGCATACAGGCAATCCATATCGGCAGGATATTAGCTGATAAGAAAAGCAAAAGGCTTAGTTAGATGATAGATTCATGATATATATGTATAAACCAATAAAAACAATGAACAAGTTAAATAAGCGTCAGCAGTCAACGTCGTTCTCTTGATAACGACCGACTATAATGTCGGGGAGAAGAAGGAAGACGATATCGATCGTTCATTCTACGTGGTGACCGCCTGTCACGACCAGACGAGAAAGAACGAGAACGCCGTCCATTACGTCGCGGAGTAACCGATCGTCTGAAAAGTTAAAAGTGAACTCATTTGCGAGAATACAGTTACACAAAAATAGTGATAAATGATGCATGCAAGCGGACACCAATAATTAAAGAGAGAAGTAGAACAAATATAACAAGATAAATTGAAATACAGAGAGAATAATTAACTAGCTATACCTACACTTATTACCAAGTAAAACACAATAATCAATGCACACAGTACACTAAACATATAAAAACTTCACCGTCGGGAAATTCTTCATACAGACTAACAAGCATCCCCATAAAATTGGTTTGCATATAATACGCAAATATTACATAATCGCCACTCATGGTAGGCTAAATCCTAATAGTATACTTCTCATCCACAACGCTTTCTATTTGTCAACTCATCTATATGGGCTGTCCAAATGTCAGGCAATCACCTGGTCAAACCCAAACGAACAATCCCTAATTAATCAAATCAATTTGTATGAAAAACAATTGTAGAAACGGTACTAGAGGCACGTGAATACCATTAGCGACCGTCTACTTCAATATAGCATTTTGGGAGACCAGAACGATATCCTGGTACTATGAAAATGCACAAAAATCTAACATCTGAATATGCAACTTTGTAGGAGAGATTCACAGTAGACAATAGTTTTGCCAACAAATCAATCCTTTCAATATAGCATTCCTAAAACACCCGACTACAGTCAGGCTCTAGCGGAATGCACAAAAAGAATCATGTTTCAATATGTAGAAGCAATTTTAACGGGATGCGATGCACACCGCCAGTGATTGCTACGTTCATTTTGGCATCACTGAAGCACTAGGCTTGTTAACCAGCCTTCGTCAGATGCCATTCACTAAACATCTTTATTATTTGGTTCTACTACATATACGTGTATACTCCAGTTCCTGTTACAGCACTACACATTGACCATTCTTCATAGTTTCACATCAATTCGCCTCCTCACAGGCGTGCAACGGCAACTCTTACAAGATATAACGCGCTCCCCTCAAGAGCCACCAGAAGATTCCTGCAAAATCTAATATCACTTCCGTGACGCTTCGTTAAGCAGGCATAAATCCAACAGACCAAAGCCCATAAATGATTTCATGCCACATCCATTCACGCCACTGAATAAAAACTTCTCCTGCATTTTCCCACTTTCCCATCAACGCCCGCTTACCATCCTTCTTCTATTACTATTTATGTGGTATCCGCCCACAAATTCATTGCTCAATCAAACTGACTTGACGTAAAAAAATAGCAACCTCATTAATCGAAGTCTAACATTTAGCAATTGTACCCTTAAAAAGAATAACACGTTGCACAAATCCGAAAGGCATGATACCCACTTGAAACACAAAATGGATGACAACCAGTTATCAATTCATCAGCTGAGCACAAACAACATGTCACCACCAATACTGTGGGGCACCAACTGTTAACTCTGTTTACTACACAAACACAACAATACATTATTTCATTATCTCACCAATTGTAAAAACACCAGCGCAGCTTTTCTATACATCATCAAAACCTAACTAAGTCCCAACCGCGGCCACAACGCAATTCAACAATCACACCTCAACAACGGTCCTCCTCCTACCAATCGTACAACTCAGTGCAGTGAGACGTCACTGAACGTGACTCAGAATAAAAGCCAGTTGTGATTATTCGGTAGTCCTATTTGACGTTCCTCCGAAACTTGAACTGTATCTCT